TGGTGTGGTGCTGTTGATCGTCTCGACTCTGATGTTGGCATTGCGCAGAGAGGCGACTTGGTTGTTCTGGTGACTAGTGAGCTTTCATTTTGAGGAAGAGGTAGTGTGGAACAGACCATCAGTGCCAGCAATGGAGATATCACAATAGTGACTAGCAAGATTAGCGGCGATGGCAGCTCTACTTTGATTTGAACATACTGCCAAAGTCGACCACTGCCGGGAGCTGATAGCATAAACTCTTTCCAAAAGAGGTCGCTGCTTGTAGGAAGACATCTTCACCCTCCAGCGTAGCTGTGACGACTTCACGTTGTAATGGGCTGCGGAGGACGTCAGTGAATGCAACGAATGATGAGCAGAATGACATACCGAAAGCTTGCCTTCTTGAAAACCTTCCTCAGCGTAAAATCGAGATTCGAGTACGGTCGTTTCCTTTTGGCAGGCATGACTCGTGATGTGAAGAACGGAGAAACGAACGAATGGAAGGGTCGAAGAATTGGATTGAAACTTTTCACCGCCCGTATGGTTGTAGCAGCGTCTTTACTGAAAGGCGAAGGCCCATGTTGGTCCTGCCAACTGAAAGTGACAGTACAAGAGATTTGGGAAGTTGCGTGTTAGCTGCAAGCAAGAACGGGACGCGTCGCGCACGTGGAGGTCAACCGCGCTAGCACGTGAGGCCCCACCTGGGCACAGAAAGATTCCGTTGACTCCAGCGACTACCTCCTCCACCATTTGTCGACTGTAGAACCTTTTGCTGCGAATGCCAAGGTAGCCGTTTCGCAAAATGGACAAGATGTCTGTATAACCCGCCCACCACTGGCGCGTCGCAAATACCCGTCTTCACGTCTAAATGCTCTCACCATCAGCATCATGTCTGAGCCAATCTCTCCAGCGCAACCTCCACCTGGCTTCGTAATCAAAGACTTCTCCACTTTCTCACCGAAAACTCGTCTCTCCATCGCCGACAAAGTAGCCAAACTTGAAAGAAAAGTCTTCCCCGCAATCGAGCATTTCAACTACGACGTAGAACTCAAGAAAAAGAACACGGGACTACTCTTGATCTTCAAAGAAGACGACGCCGACAAGCTAATCGGATACCTCGTCTACCAGCGAATGAAGAGGTTGGCTTGGCTGCATAAACTCTGTGTCATCGAGCAAGAAAGAGGGAGGGGGTTTGGTAGAGCTTTGATACATTGCTTTCGTCATCAAATGGAGAAGGGGGGCTGTAGTACGGTCTTTTTGTGGGTGGATGAGAGTCGTGCTCCTGCTAGAGCGCTGTATACGTCGTGTGGCTTTCAGCAGTCGGAATGCCGGCCTGATTACTATGGACCTGGACGAACGGCCTTGAAGCTTGAGTTGTCACTCCAAGAAACCTGAATGTGGAGTAGAAGAAACTGTCTCTAGTTCAGTTAGTAGCGAACGTACACACCGTTAGCGAGTTGAATAGGATGATCAAGTGTTTCTTTAAGAACAGGACATCAATGTCCTTTCACTCATTCCGTCATTTTCTCATCTAAAATTCCAGAAAAAGCTATGTAGCAACGTTATCTATCCCAGGCTGTCGAAGCCCCTACTCCATACGCCATACCATGCAATAGTCGTTCTGTCACCGGCTCCTACAACTGAATATCGTTGTTCAGCAGCCGTACCTCCTCACCAGGCTTGAACGCTGGTAGACCAATGTACGGGCATCCGTCACACCTGAACGCATCGCCCAGTGCGCAGTTCCCGCAACTGCCAACCTTTCCTTGTACTGTGAAGTCTACCTCGTCAAGGTCGTCGGCATCCAGCTTGAGCGAGTTCAATGCTTTATCGGCGGAGGTGCGCTTGGCGGCGTCTTCGGCTTCGAGTTTCTCCTTCATGCCGCAGGTGCAGTCTTTGCATGCGCGTCGTCGCTTGCCGGGCTTAGGTTGGCACTCGAGTGCTGGAATCATGTTAGTAGGGTCCCTTATGGTAGTAAGAGGACTTGACGTACGCTGGAGGACTGGACGAGCCATGTCTGCCTCTGTAATGAGGTCGTCTTCGTCAATTAGGTCATCATCTTCTCCCGTGATGATCGGGTCGTCAAGATCATCGCTGAAATCGACGAAGCCCACACCTGCGGCTGGCTTGACGGGCTCAGGCTGGTAGCGCTTGCGAAGGTTGAGCGGGACTGAACCATCCGGGTTGACAGTGCCATTTGCGCCATTTGTTCCGTTCGTTCCATTCGCGCCATTTGCCTTCTTGCCGAACTTCAGCGGTATCGACACCGGCTCCTCTTGTTCGGGCTTGGTCATGCCGTCGGCCGTCTCCGTGAGTCCTGCCAGGATAGCCTCTGTCTTCTCTGCGCCTTGGAAGGGGCCTGCCTGACTCTTAAGAACACCTCCCACTTTCAATGCGCTGACTACTTTGTTCATGACATCCCGTGCCAGCAACTTGTGACTTTCGCGCGTGGTACCGTCGGCATCGGCGAGGAGGAGAACAACATCGTATGTAGATGCGGGGAGATTGACCAGACCAGCGGCGATACGGTCAAGCATCTGCAGGTCGGTCGAGTTGCGATCGTGGATCTCGTAAACTTGGTCAAGTCGCTCTGGGTGCGCCGCAATCGACGGCGTACCGATCAGAAGGCATCGCGGGGCCATGGTGGGGTATCGTGGCGCTGTGTGTCGATGGAGGGGTAGATGGGTGTTGCAAAACCAAAGGGTATTGAGGTATGAACTCTGCGAACAGTGTGCAGAAGCGTGAGAGAAGAAAAGGCGTGTTTCAACGAAAGGCGCGTCCCGGGAAACTTTTCTGGTCTGCGGCCTCGGAGGCGGAGAAAGCGCTGCTGATGCAATCACTGAGAAATCCGCGGCGATTGGTCATTCCACCCTGGGCTGATTACGAGCTGACCGGAACACGTGATTCCGGATCAAGTGGGAGGCGGCATATGTGCGAGTGGATCCAGGGCGCATTAGCGTACGAGGACAAACATCTAGAATCTGGGGTAATCACCGTTGCGCTGAAGCCATGGCACGCAGGAGGCCGTTATAGACAAATCTTAGAGATTATGCTTCCTCGATAGCATCGTTGACCTGCAATTGACTCATAGACAAAGTTTGTGCATGGCTGTGGTGCTGCGTCTGGACGAATTGTCGCCCACGCGACACCGCCGGGGGGATTCAGGTACCAGTGACGTACCCTTCCCCTCGTTGCTTCCTCAAAAGCTCAGGGTCACCGAGATCCGACCGACAACAATGTGTGTCCAGTTACTGTATACAGGTAGAAGCTATGAGCACAACTGCAGTAGCTGGAGCTGGGCAGCTGAGGGCGAATCTTCTAGAGGCGCGTCGTTCCAGGGCCCATCTTGGTTGCGATATAAAGGCAGGAGCTCCTCCCAGCTTCCCCGCCTTCCAACGCCAGTCGCGTGAGATGCATTGCGCCTTCCTCTATCAAACCAGCCACCATCGTCTCGCTAACCTCGTCTTCACTAACACATTGCTGCCACTTGTCCACAGATCTGCAAGGTACGCATCTGGCCGCGTTGCTTCACGCAAGACGACGCCATCGGGTCAAAGCTCCCATCACGAGACCATGTACTGACCCGCTTGAGCTTCTTACAGTCACAGTAGCTCCGAGCCCGCCGTTGCAGGATACTTCAATCCATTCTGACTTACTTCCATCACATCACAAACAACCTCTAGTCAATCCATCGACTCAAGACATCAAACAGTAAGTGCTGCCTTTCATCTTGTCTACCGACGCTCTTGCCTTCTTTGCATTGAGTCTCTGAGGTCGATATGACCTCAATGGCTCCTCGGCATAAGACGGCAGGAGGCTCTGGAGCAACCCAAGCCTGTTCGTACATCGTACTGACATCTGAAGTGACTCGCTCTCACAAGTTCACTGATCGCGACCACGCCGGCATTGCTGATGGCACTGCCGAGCGTGAGACGCGACTTCCCAAATACTTCGCCAAGTCCGGCCATGCCGACACCGACCCGACCAAGACAAAGAAGGGTGGCAGCGGTAAGGGTAATTGGTGAGTACAGTCTATCTACTTCCCTACTATCCACTCCAGATACAGGCGCACCTCGCGAGACAGCTGTATCTTCATAAGTGGTTGTATCATAGAACCTATGACTGACAACATCGTTCCAGGGGCGCCGCTGGTGACGAGGTCGAAGATATCAGGCCCAATATGGCCTACGCCCGCCGTCGAAGTAATTCGTCCACCCACAACATGAAGGACTTCAAGACCAAGTTCGAGACGATCGAGACTGAGCCCGTCTTCGAAGAAGAGATTCACGGCCCTCTTGGCGAAGAGCTCGAGAAGCAGAGCACCACATCGACGGAGAACAGCATCGCTGAGGAGGAACACGACAAGAAGATGTAAGGGCTGAGCGTGGAGCCTACGGATAGTGGTATGGCTGCGTGTCGACTGGCTAGTCGGCATGTGGGAAGCCATCGCTTACCGCGAACAATTTGACAGAGCAGATATCGTCGTCTTTTCAGACTGATATGCTCACACATGTACCATGTTTCTCTGGAAAGTATTTCGTTCTCTAGTACGGCCATGCAAGTTCACACGGGCATGTATGGTCGGAAGTTGACCACATGGCGTTTTCTGACAACTGTAACGAGTATGATAAATGATAAATGATAAATGAAATGCAAAGCACTTGACTCTTTTGTTTGATGTGACTCGAGAAAGATGGCGCTCTCACCTGAATAGACAGTATGGTAGATTGCGAGCAGAATTGTGTGATGAATAGCAGATTCAAAGAATGACCAAGCGGTTGCAATGATTCCCTCGCGTACATCAGGTCTGTTGTTAATAAAGTACCTGGGTACGGGCGTAGTGCAGTGAATTGTTAGATGATGGTGCGTGCCTGGCGACTCACTAGCAGCCCTGGAGCTGGCTCCAAACTCCGGGCGCTAGCGTTGGTTGAATCCCTGCCAAAACAGAACAACTCAGCGAGCAACATCATCACCGGCGCGCTCCTTCGCGTTTTCAACCGCCATCTCCAACACCTCGCATCATGTTCTCGCCCGAGGCGTCCATCGCGAGCGCGCGCAGCTCTTTGCGCAACCCCCGACGCAGACCGCGGATGGAATCCGAGAGCCTACGAAGCAGAAAGCGCAGTAAACTCAACGACGCGACCTTCAAGGACCCGGCCGACGCCCACATCAACGGAAACGGAAGTGCCTCGACAAATGGCCACGCTGTGCAGAGTGTCGACCACTCGGTTGTTGTGGTTGACATGCCCTTGAGCATTCGGGAGAAGAAGACGGCACCGAAGCGCGCGCCCAAGGAGGACACGGGCACGTATCTTGTGAGTAGATGCGCATCTACGCGAGACGGCACTGCTAATATGAGACTGCAGACCAAGAACGCAAACTACAGTGTCAAGAAACTGCCTGGCTTCCCGTCAGCGCTCCTCCGCCCATCGAGTACGGCATACACATCGTCATCCACCGTAATGCGCGCCTGCTGACACACATCTCTAGCTCCCATATATGCCACCGCCCTTCCCTCCGCCGGCCTCGCGCTTGCCCTGACATCAGATCGAGCCCTCGTCTGGGACTACAGCGCCCCGAACGGCCCTTCAAAGGTCGTCTCTCTAAACCTTAACTTCGGCCTCAGACCAACTGAACCTCTACCGCTCGGCGCCATCGTTCGCAACGGCCCCACCAACGACTACGGTATCGTCGCGCTCGCGCCTTCGACAGGCAAGATCAGCTTCTGGGAGAACATCGACAGCGCAGACACCCGAAGCCTATACCCCCAGCGCCAGCAAGGGGTGGATGGCTTTGTGAAGCTGTACTCTGGGGAAACCATAACCGGCCTGGTCGATGTCGAGCACGCGGGCTATGTCCTGGTCTTCAGCAGCGGCAGACTCGCTCAGCTGACTCTGCGCGATTCTCAGGGTCGACCAAGCGTTGCGACAACAGTCTTGAGCGCACCAAACGGCTCGGGAGGTAGCTTCTTCAGCTTCAAAGGCCTTCTCGGAGGATCCATCCGGAAGACCATCGCCTCCGTCAAGGCCCGGACATCGCAATCCAAGGGCCACATGGAAGTCATCTCGGCGACGCGAAACGGCCTCTTTCAGACCTGGGACTTGAGCTGGTCAGGACAAAACAGCCACCAACGAGACGTAGACGTATACGATGCGATCCTGTCGGCAGTTCAAACAGACACCGTTCCAGAAGTACGCAACCAGCAGGATGTCCACGTGCTGGATTTTGCCATTATGGAACAACAACAGGGTCAGGATGCTGTCAATCTTCTGGTTTTGGTGGCACTGTCTGGCCGGGACTCAATGGACTACTTCCTCGTGGAGGTGGATCTGTCGAGGACAGCCGGTACCATTAGCAGGGCGATACCAGTCCGCAACTTTCATCAGCCGCAGCTTACCAAGGAGCCGACCGGAACGCTTCTCCTGCCACAGCCTGGACACACAGCCTACGTCCAGTTTCCAGGAGCAGTCTTCGTCGCATCCCTCGCTCAACCAGAGGAGAGCCCAGAGGCACAACTGCTCGCAGACTCAGGCCGTTCTAGTTTACCCTTCCAGGACACCGTATATTTCCGCCCAGAAGTGACCCTTGCAGGCACTGCCCTGGAGACCCCGATACGGAAGGACAAGAAATCGACTGCTCTCGTCTTCGTCCAGCAATTCGGCCTTTTACAGATCAGCGCATTGCCTCCTACCACAGACGATCAGGATAAAGAGCGCGTGAAAGTGACCGCACGCAGCAAACTCGAGCAGGCCACCTTCTTCAGTACCATCCCCTCCAACATCATAGACTTCTCTGTCAGATCACGCTTTTCGTTCGCAGAGGAGGAGACTGCGGAAGCTGCACTTGCTATCAGTGCCGGCATCTTGAGCTCCTCGTACGACTACTTGGAGAAGGGAGTTTCGAACTTGGACGACCAATTCCAGCAGCGCTCCTTCGCCCTCCGTACCCTGATCACTCAACTACAAACCGATTATCCCCCCATATCTTTCCAGACAAGGTGGCGGCTATTGTGGCATGCCGAGAAGCTCGCGGCTGCACACAAGCTCTGGCTCTGGTACCAAGACAAGCTGCAGGACCAACAAGCACACCCGGATACCTATCCAGAGAAGATTCTGATGAGCGACATTATTAGAGCCTTGAATGAGCGCTACAAGAGCGGCCTCGATTCTGAGCTAGGCGAGAACGACACTATTCGACAATTCTTCGTTAAGGACGTTGACAGCTTTCACACGCTGATACCTTGGGGCTGGTTTTACCTGAGGACCTTCTATATGAAAGAGGGACTAAAGCAAACACCGTCCATCATGCAGAGGCTCAGTGAAGGCACCGATGTCATGCTTGTCGCTTTGGAGACAGCTTTCGAGTTCCGGCAAGCAAATGTGGAAGTATACGGTCTCGACCCTGATTGTCTGGATGACAGCATCCTCAAACCGGACTATGGCTACGATATGCTGCCTCCATTCTGGACCTCGTCTCACAACATCGTCAGCTCGATTCGAAGTCTCATTGACGTTGGCCGCAACCTTGCGGTGGACAACTACGAGGAAGGCTACCAAGAACTCCTGGCACAAAAGATCGGCAAGGACAACCCTCGCTTGGTGAAGCTTGGATGCCAGACTCACATTGAACGCTTTGAGTGGGCTCTCGCCCAGAGCGATGAGAAGACACGAGCCATGGGCCGCAGCCTCAAGGATGAGTGGAACAACAACGTCCGACCATCGCACATCATGGGCTTGATGGAGATTGGACTCCCTACAGAAGGTATGGAATTGGCCGAGCAGTATCACGACATGTCGACACTTGTAAACCTGATCTGGGAGGAGTCCAACTGGCTCGAGACGGAGAAGGCGAACACCCGCAGCAAGATGGAGCAGGCAGAGAGCACAGTCAAGCTGAACCGGATAAAAGAGCGCATCGCGCGCTACTTCGAGGTCTACGGTGATGACTGGGCTGGAGCGTTCTACTCAAAGTACATCAACGAAAACCAAGCAGGACAACTCTTCATGAAGGAGTATCTCAACCAACCGGCACTCACAAAGTTCCTACGAGCTGAGCCGTCGCGCGTCAGGCTCGCATGGATCAATGAAGTCTGCGGCGAGAAAGACTACGAAACTGCTGCTGAAGCTCTCTTTGAGGCTGGATCGAAGCAGGAGACGAATGCGTGGTGCCAGCGCGTTGAGCTCTCCATGGCCAAGCTTGCCTTGCTCTGCAAGGAGGCAAAGCATGGCGATGACCAAGCAGTAGTCGACCCACGCAGGGAGAAGCCCAAGGCGCTGAAGATGCGCGAGGCCATGTACCAGAGCATCGATCAACAGCTCGAGTACACCAAGATCCAAGAGGAGGTTTACGAGCGGTTGCTGCCCATTATTACCGGAGCTCTGGATGAAGACTCTGCTGTTGAACTCCTTATGGCCGAGTTTGGACAAGGTCGTTTGAAGGATCGACCAGCACACCAGACCATCCTCAAAGAGGGATTCGAGGCTCTGGTTCACCACAGGGTTATCGACCCTGCGCTCATGGTTGACATTCTCACACTCATGAATGCAGACGACAGCGAGGAAGGTGTTACTTTGCTTGGGAACGACGAGTTCATCTACGCTTTCAAGGTCTTGACAGTCAACTGGAACAATATCCACCGGACAACTCGCGACGGCCTGCTCAAGCTTTTCTGGAAGCGACTGTGCATCAAGGACAACTGGGCTTTGATCAATAATGAAAAGGAGGTGCCTGATGCCAAAATCCACGATGTGTTGCAAGGCACAGTCATGGCATGGACATTCCGCGCCTTGTCCGCCATGTGCAGTAAGTTGATGTCTAGTACCATATGTTTGTTCACCACTAACAAGTTGCAGTCGGCAATTCTTTCATCCGGACCCTATGGCCTAAGAACCTTCGGGACCTTCTAGGTGCTGGAGGAACGCATGGAGAGCTTTGTTTTCGCTTTGCTGCCGAAGACCTTCGCAACCCGATTATCAAGGACAACCTCTTAGATGACGATATCCTTCGCGAGCAGGTTAGCAAGAACAGGCTCACCGATTGGTTCAAGGCAGCCTGGAACACGGGCAAGACCATGTACGCCCGCGAGCTGGCACTGCAGGGCAAGGTTCCTCCTCAGTCTATGCCAGCAGCCCCTCAGATGGCGGAGGAAGAAGTAGAGGACGAAGCGGAGCAGGACGCTGCTGGGTCGGAGACGTTTGACGGAGACGACGAGAGCGCACAGCAGGAAGACGTGGTGATGCAGGATTCATGAGAAGTCGTGACCGTATTCGGGGTTTCATCGGGCGCAGTGCATTCAGGACAGGCGCGTATCAAGCATTGGGCACGGCGTTTGAAACGTGTACTCTGCAGACGCGGACAGCGTTCATTTTCTTTTTTGTCATCAAGTGTATTTCTAGCGATGGTTTTGCAGACGACAGGCGTCCTATCTCGTCCCATGTCAGTACCTGACTAGAGACGAGAAAGAGGATGATTAGAGTTGGAACCCAATGTATAAAAGTGACTATCTAGGTAATGCATGAAGTCCTAGGGGAGAGCCATGAATAGTGACATGCATAACCGCCTATCGGCAAGGGTCTCGACTCTGTTCTGTGGAGTCAAGCGACGACAAGCGTTCATTTGCGCGGTGGGTACCCAGCCGTGTCAGGGAACCGAGTGTGGCGCGAGCGAGAGGGCGCGGAAGCCGACGCGCACCAATGACCTGACTCGGCAACGGCCGTTGGGTGACTTGAGGCCGGGTTGTGAAAAAGTGGTGCTGCGCGTTGAGATGAGAGGCGGGAGATGTCGATGGAGTACATGTCAAGAGGACTACCTTTGCTTCTTTCTTGTCGCACCAAAACCGTTGGCCATGCCGTGAGGCGAAGCCACCGACTTGACGTAGGCGGCATGCATGAACAGCATGAGGCACAGCAGCGGTGAGGCTGGACAGGACACACGACCGGCCAATACGTGCTAGCCGTGCCGGTACTGTTGCGGCTCTACAGCAGGAAAGATCGTCGAGCTGCGACGGCGATGGCGATGGAGATGTCGATGTCGATGGCGATGACGGAGGACAGAGTCTTCACCCTGCTGATTGCCGTCGCGAATCCGCTGACCAGGCTTCCCTTCGCGCGGGCGCGCTTGTTGGCTGGGAAAGGATGCGTCGAATTTCCGAGGGCGTCCCAGGGCTGCTTTTGCTCGGAGGATGCTAGTTCTGGTGTGGACTGTGCTGCAGGTACAACAACAAAGTGACAGCTCAGTGGGGAAAGGACGGCTGCGCCGCGAGCGACCTGGGATGGGCTGCGGAATGCATGAAAGCCAGAATTGAGCCGCTGCATCGGGCTGCCCACGCCTGCGCCCACGACGACGGCCAGCGTGCACTTCCGTCTCTATGCAGGCGGGTGTAAATAGCTCACGGTGGCAGTCCCGTGCTCTCAGTGAATTGGGTGCTACTAAGAGTCTAGCGAAGGGTCGGTTGATAGGTTGCTAGTGCACGCCCCATGCCCAGTCGCTCCTTCCCCTTCTCCACGTCTTTTCCGCGTCGAGAGTCGGTCGCTCTTTCTTCACTATACGTGCCTGTCCTACGTGCCTTCCTCTGACCTCCCCGTCCCCTCGCACGCTGCTCGTTGCAGCACCACAGGTCGCTCCCGCCTCGCCCTCGACCCGCCGTCTCAGCAACGCCGAGTCGCGTTCGCCGGTTGCATAGCCTCGTTCCCGGCCTACGGCTGCGGCCCTGTCTCGCTGCTGTCACAACCACCAAGCCACGCACCTCTCTGCCACTCCCGTCCACCTCCCTTCCTCCTCCCCTCCGTTATCCGGGCTCCATCGACACCATGGCGAGCGGCAGCACGAGCTCCAACGTCGTCGGCGTGCACTACCGCGTCGGCAAGAAGATTGGCGAGGGCAGCTTCGGCGTCATCTTCGAGGGCACCAACCTGCTCAACCAGCAGCAGGTCGCCATCAAATTCGAGCCGCGCAAGAGCGACGCTCCTCAATTGCGCGACGAGTACCGCACATACAAGATCCTCGTGGGCTGCCGTAAGTACCGACCTCGCTTCCCCTTTACCGCTTGTTTTGGTGCTCGTGATCGACACCACCCTGTATATCAACGCATGTATGCACCTCGACTAGGTGGCTAACCATCTGCAGCCGGGATCCCTAATGTCTATTATTTCGGCCAGGAGGGCCTACACAACATTCTGGTCATCGACCTCCTCGGCCCGAGCTTGGAGGACCTGTTCGACCACTGCAACAGGAAGTTCTCCATCAAGACGGTCGTCATGGTAGCCAAGCAGATGGTACGTTCCGACAGCATCACTGTACTCTCCTCTGCTTACACCTCATCTAGCTGTCACGGGTTCAGACCATCCACGAGAAGAACCTCATCTACCGCGACATCAAGCCCGACAACTTCCTCATCGGCCGCCCTGGCTCAAAGAGCGCCAATGTCATCCACGTCGTCGACTTCGGTATGGCGAAGCAGTACCGTGACCCCAAGACGAAGCAGCACATCCCGTACAGGGAACGCAAGTCTCTCTCCGGTACCGCTCGATACATGAGCATCAACACCCATCTCGGGCGCGAACAATCCCGTCGCGACGATCTCGAGGCGCTCGGTCATGTCTTCATGTACTTCCTGCGCGGTGGACTGCCATGGCAAGGTCTCAAGGCTGCCACCAACAAGCAGAAGTACGAGAAGATTGGCGAGAAGAAGCAGACCACCCCCATTAAGGATCTGTGCGATGGGTTCCCTGGTATGTTGGCTGCATTCACTAATTCTATCACTACTAACAATGCGCAGAGGAATTCAACAAGTACCTCAGCTACGTGCGTAACCTCGGCTTCGAGGACACACCCGACTACGACTACCTACGGGAGCTGTTCACTCAGGCTCTCAAGAGCACCGGAGAGATCGAGGACGGCGAGTACGACTGGATGAAGCTGAACAACGGCAAGGGCTGGGAGGTCCTCAAGTCGCACCCATCGGCTGCCCAGGCGATGCACCACTCCAACGCCAACCCCAACTCATCCATGGCTGTGAACATGCAAGGCCAGCAACACAGGCAACAAAAGACGCATCTGCCTATCGACCACCACCGTCTCAACGAGCCTCTGCCCAAGCCTGGCGCGACCCGCGCTCAGCCCGGAAGGAGCCCACGCGAGACTATGAACCGTGATTCGCAAATCAAGCGGAAGAGCATGGGCGAGCTTGCGCCGCCCGAGGGTGCCTCAACGCAGGCCCAATTCCAACACAGCCAGCCCAACCTGGCACAGAACAACCGTGCTGCGCCTGCCAGCAGTCCGAACCCGCAACCGACGCGACAGAGTGCCGAGAAGCCTAGCTTCATGCAAAAACTGGCGAATGCCCTGTGCTGCGGCGCCAGCAAGTAGTAATCGCGGTCGCCAAGCTTGGTTTCCTTCCCTTTGCGTTGCATCCTGGAGTCCGTTCTTTGAGCGATAGTGTTCCCGGTCACGTTTTCTTCCTGTATAGGTATCTTGTAATGATTGATAGACGGGATCGAAAATCTCCTTCCACGGTAATAGTTACGACGACCGAGCGACCGAACCGCCTCCCACACCAGCCTGGATTCCTCATCAGCGCCGAAAAACATCATCACCACCCTCTCCTTCACCTCTGCGCTCCCGCGTTGCGAGACTACATCAGCTGGCAGTAGTGTGGGAGCGATTTTCCATTGGGCGCTTGCGGCGTTGCGGTGTGCTTGGGGAGGCTCGCACTTGTGGCATCTCATTTTCATTATTCATTTTGGCACGAGGAAAATATAGCATGTAAAGGAGTCTCTTCTGACGGCCCATCGCGTGTACAGGGCGACAGACGGATCTCGTTCTAGTTCAGGTAGAGTAGTCGGGCGAATAGACGCACTTACTACACCAAATTTCATCTTTGTCCAGTAGTGACGTTTGCCATGGTCAACATCATTGATGATCCATGGATGTCTGTCTGGCATTCTTGGTAGCGGCGATCTGAGGGGTCGGTCATGGGAGGGCACCAGGGAGCTATGGCCTCTTTGCGTATGCGATTGGAAGGTGCCGTAACAGCGGCAATCCATGACTCCATAGCTGTGCGTGCCTATAGCGCAAGAACTTGACTTGTAGCTTGATTTGCACTTGAATCTGTCGAAAACCCTTGCGCATTCTTTTGGATTTGAGTATCCGCCCATTTTGACTTTTTCCTTCGCCATTCCAATATTCCCACACGTGAGGTACCCGCGCAGGGTCCAACGCGACTTCCCAACAACGAAATTAAGCTCGTCCACCCCGGGGCCCTGCGATTCCATCACCCGCACCCTCTCCTACTACCGGCTCATCGATCAGCGGCGCCTTGCGAAAGTTGCGATGGCGTCGGGACGCGATGTGCGCGATATGCTCGGGCTGCCTGCTGCCGGCGGTGATGCGCCAAAGGCAGTAGGTCCAGCAGCCGTGGCAGCGCAGACTCAGAAGCGCTCAAAGCCTGCAGGAGGGAGCAGGAAGATACGTACGTTTGGCAGTCCTTACGTCTTTCCTTGGGAAATCGTCAAAAGGTCGAGACTGACTCTCATTCGACCAGAGGGCGTTGCGCGCGAGGTTGCTGCGCTATATGGCGAACGGCCGCCGCCTGTCGCCGTCTACGAGGAGAAGAAGGCGTATCGGGCGAAGAGACAGAGCACTGGCCCTGCAAAGAGATGGTATGTACGCGCGAGGCACTGCGGAGGATTGGCTAATTCGCGCTTCTAGGGTACAGCAGCCGTTTATGAATCCGGCGCGCAACGATGGCCTCGTCCTCAAGCACTGGCGGCGCAAGCCCACGACCGCACCACCCGTACAGGAAGCCGACGACGCGCCGATGCAGGAAAGCGACACCGCCGACAACTACATCGAGACGTGCGCCGACTACGCCAAATACGACATCAAAGTAGACATGCCCGGCTTCACAGACGAGGAATACAACCAGTACCTGCGGAGCGATGACTGGAGTCGCGAGGAGACAGACTACCTATTCGAAGTAGTAAAAGACTACTCGTATCGCTGGCCTGTGATATGGGATCGCTACGACTACAAGCCGACGCAACCACGCCCGTCAGAGCCAGCAAACAGCGAGGACCAAGCGCTAGCCACCATGCCCTTTGCGCCGTCGAAGAAGCGGTCGTTAGAGGACCTCAAAGCACGCTTCTACGATATCTCAGCCAAGCTCATGAAGCAGCGCATACCGGAAGTCTCCATGGACGCCGACCAATACAGCCTGTACGAGATGCTCACAAAGTTCGATCCGGTTATGGA